ATGTCCCTTGGGTTCAGTGGTTCACTAGAAGGTCTTCCAGAGACTCAGACACAACAGAGGAATGAATCAAGTGACTGTAGGTTTGCTGACTGGTTTTGCAGAAACTAGTGATGAACCAGGATCCTGTCGACTGTCCGTTGTGGCACAGCTGCATGGCGACTGTGGGAGATGCAGGCTGGATGGTGCATCGCAGGTGAGTGTTCCACAGGAGATAGTGCCTTGCACTGAGGTCCCATAAGCTTATAGAAGAGGATGAGGGTGGGGCTGTTTCTATCCTCCTCTTCTCTCCTTGTACAATAATCACTTCAGCACAAATGATACAGTGAGTGATTTGTGGGAAGTTGAATATTAAATGTAGTATTAATAATAAACCAAATGCTATCATGCTTGGTAGGGTGGAGGGACAGTGCAGGAGGGGAAGGCCATCTATGAGGTGGACTGATTCAGTGACTGGGGTAATCGGGATAGGAATGTCAGACACAGTGCGATTGGCACAGGACAGAGCAGAGTTTAGGGCTGTTTTACATAGGGAGTCACAAGCAATGGGGCACATAACAACAACAACAACATATCAGGATATAAGGGAGGCATAACACAAGCTAGAGTTCACCCTGAGGCACTAAGGCATTCCCTCAGAGTCAACAAAGTTCTTAGTTTGTATTTAGGAATCCCTCCATCCTGAGATTAGCATAAGGTAAACAACAGAGAGGAACTTGGCCTTATCTGCAAAAGACTTCCCCATGATCCCTTGTTTTTGTTTAATACTCCCTTGTGATTTTCCTTTGTTTACCTTCCTGATGATTCTCAATAAATACATAGAGAGGCATGGCTTGGGTGCTTCTGTCCATCATCAGGACTGCTGGCCCCCCTCATCTTTCTCTTATCTCAATCCTGGCTATCTCATTATTAATAATTATAAAAATATTTTACCCTCGGTATGCAACAGAGAGATTGTTCCCAACTCTGTTGGGTCACCCTTCTTTGGGATGGGGACAAATATAGATCTCTTCCAGTCAGTTGGCCAGGTGTTTGTTCTCCAGATTTCTTGACACAACTTGGTGAGCACATGCAGGGCAGCATCTGTTAGCTGAAATATGTCAATTGGTATACCATCTATTCCTGGGGCCTTATTTTTTGCTATTCTTCAAAGCAGCCTGAACTTCTTTCATCACCATAGGCTCTTGCTCATATGTTGTTTCATTAAATTCTTCTGTGTTTGCCAATTCCTTTTGATACAGTGACTCAGTATATTCTTTCCATCTTCTTTTAATTCTTTCTGGATCATTTAATATTCTGCCTAAAGCATCCTTGATTATAGCAATTTGAGGTTTTAATTTGTTCTTCAGTTCCTTGAGCTTAAGAAATGCTGAGCGAGTTCGGCCCTTTTTATTTTCTGACTCCAACTCACTGCACATTTCATTGTAATATTTTACTTTGTCGTCCCGTGCTGCCTTTTGAAATCTTCTATTCAAGTCTTTAGTACCTTGAATTCTTCCCACTGCTTTGGCTTCTCTGCGCTCCAGTGCAATTTTCAGAGTCTCTTCTGACATCCATTTTGGTCTTTTTTTCCTCTTCTGTCTTTGTAATGAACGTTTGCACTCTTCTTGGATGGTATCCTTGATATCCTCCCACAACTCATCTGGTCTTCACTCATTAGTGTTCAGGCCTCAAACCTGTTCCTGAGATGGTTCTGAAATTCAGGTGGGATTGGAAAACAAACAGATTCATCCTGGAAAGGGTCAAACCGGGCTGCTCCTTGGAGGCAAGAATTCTAAGGCTCCGTCTAACATACTTTGGACATGTAGCAAGGAGGGACATCATGCTTGGGAGGGTGGAGGGACAGTGCACAAGGGGAAGGCCCCCTATGAGGTGGATTGATTCAGTGACTGGGGTAATCGGGATGAGTGTGTCTGAGACTGTGCGATTGGCACAGGATAGAGCAGAGTTTAGGGCTGTTGTAAATAGGGCCGCTATGAGTTGCAAGCAACTAGATGGCCCATAACAACAACAATGTAACAGAGATTGGCTAAGAAAGACATCTCAATGATAAACCTTAGACCCCCAAACTTATTCAGCTCTGTGCCCCACCCCCCAGTTCAGAGGTGTACGTGTGTTCAACTGCTCCAAGCCAGTTTTTTCAACCCACGGTATCACCTATGAGAAATGGAGATTGTAATCCGCAGTCTGCTGGAAGGGTTCAATGTCTAAGAAGGACTTAGCCCAGTACCTAAGTCTTCAATAAATAGTATTTCTTATGATCACCACTATCTAACAAAAAAATGCTGTATATTCCACACTAAAAAACATGCCTCTGGAAATTCTATGAACTTTGAGAAACAATGATAGTTTGTTAGTTATAGAAAGGCTTTAAGTCTTTTATTATTATTATCATTATCATCATTAATTTTAATGAAAATTTACAGAGATTTTGGATTTCTATTCATTCATTGTTGCACTTTTCTTCCAGCCCACCCCTCCCCCTCCAGTTCAATGTTCTCTTTGAAAAGTAAAAGAAAAATTCTTTTATTGTTATACAATCCCTCCCCCCAAGTCCACTTCACTCTGCAGCCTCCATTCTGGGCTCATATCATGACAATAATACCTAATCATACATACCTTTTAAACAGTTTTCTCTCTCATCTGTTTCAATGCAGTATACATAATTTATCCCATCTTTCTCAGCCTCCCCCTCAATCCCTTTATCAGTCCCGTTTTACAACAGTGGCATTATGCAGTATTTGTCCTTTTGTGACTGAGATATTTCACTCAACATAACGTCCTCCAGGGTCATCCATTTTGCATAATATTTCATGAATTCCTTGGTTTTCAATGCTTCCGGTCTTTAGTTCACAGGGTTGCTATGAGTCATGCTTGACTTGACGGCAATCAATTAACAAATTAATACATTTTGAATCCACACTATTATTATTAATAAATAAGTGAATAAATTTGTAAATGCATGAATGAAATCATTTAACTCCAGTTTCAAGCCTGCCTCTGGAACTTTAATATTCTTTGTTCCCTAGATGGGAATGACTAATACTACTTTTAGAGGTGAAATTCCTCATGTGCAGGCTTCATTTACAAGGCTGCTTCTTCTGGGTCTCCGGCCAGGGATTCCTCTAGGGAGCTGGAAGACGAGAGGTCAAAGAGCATTATGTTCTTCTTCGACCTCACTGGTTTTGACGTCTTGGGGGTCTTTGCCTCTCTGTAAAAAAAAAAGACAGACAGAAACTGGTTAAGAGACCAGCACAATCAAGAAGACAAAGAAGGGGAATCCCCCTAGGATTACAGGCTGTCTAGAAATCAAGCTCAGGGGGAAGCAGGTCAGAGTCTGGAAAACGAAGGGGAAATTGATAGATTTATAGCTAAGTGTCTGCATGGGTTGGGAGGAGATTTTGAGATCAATGATGAGCTTCTGGAAACGGGTGCTGATTTAAAAAAGGCTGTTTGATGCAAAGGTGACACAAGCCTCAATTTGTAGAATAGTCAACTGTCTACAAAGTTCATTTGAGAGATGTATGCCCGTGGGGTGCCAGAAATCTGCAACAATATTACTGTGTTGAGCTTCTTCAAAGAGTCCCCTTTACTGTGGCTCATGTGCCCTGACAGCTGGATTCTCCCCAGTTCTCGCGCTGAAACCCACAATCCCTCGCTGACTGCTTTCTCCAGAAAAGGCTGTCCCAACATGGCAGGCAGAGTTTTCCCAAAGCAGTTCCTCAAAATGCTCTGGGTGCGGCCAATTGTCATGCTGAAGAAAGGTCTGAGAAACTGGAAGGGAAGCACTAAACCCTGTGGGAGTCAGGGAAAGCTTCCTGGAGGAGGGGACAGCTGATGTGACTCTGAAGGAGTAGGAGCTGGCCAGGGAGAGGAGGGGGCTGGGAGAGCTCAGAAGCTCAGGCCTATTCAAGCAAGGTGTGGGTAGGGGGCACTCAGCCTGCTGAGTGCAGGTGGGAGTGGCTGATGGAGAGGAAATAGAGAAGGGCCCTCTTGCTGAAGGACTCATGTCTAAGTGTTAGATTTTATCTTTATAACCCTTAGGGCAATGAGGAGAAATAGGAGACAGAGAGAGAGAGAGAGGGAGGGAGGGAGGAAGAGTGCTAGGTCAAAGTTTATAGAGCAAATTAGTTTTCTGTTCAACAATTTTTTTTATTATTATTTTTTAAATTTTCCACTAACTTATAAAATTTGAACACATTATTTTCAAGAACAAATTCTTTCCATTTCCCTCATATCCCAACCCAATAAACTGTACAACCCTAGGATTAATCTCCCCTCCTCCTGCACATCCTTATCGCTTTACTTCCAACCTCTCCCATCCCTCTTGGATCCTTATACTCATTCTACAATAATAGTTTTATACAATTAGGATTGAGAAATTATGGTACATTCACACAATGGAATACTATGCAGGATGCAGGAGCAATGATTTTGTAAATTACTACCTACCTTGGGAGGGACTGGAGAACATTATGCTGAGTGAACTAACTTAGTCCCACAAGGATAAATATTGTATAAAACCATTATCGTAGAATGAGTGTAAGGATCTGTTCAACAATTTATATACATTTTTGTTTAAATTCCCTTAATATGACAACACTCTCCCTTTTCCTCCTTGGCTTCCCCATATCCATGCATCCTTTTTTCTTGCTCTGACTTTCTTTCTGAGCTTCATTTAGAAGCAAATGTTGCCCTTTTGGCCTCATGTGGTTGGCTGTTTTGAGGAGAACATTTATCACAAGTGTTGAAGGCCTAGGTTTTATTTGGCTGAAAAAGGATCCTAAGGTGAGTTCAGATCCAGGTATGAAGGATGTCTAAGGGTCATGGTCCTTGGGGGGGGGGTGTCCCACCGCTCTGTCAGTGTAGATTTTAAGAAAAGGAGGAGTGTGATGAGAGGGGAATATTTGAACCCTCTCTCTGGGTGCAATGGGGAACGCCACGAGAGGCCTGGAAGATAGTGGTTTCAGCTCACGTGGGCCTCAGAGGATTCCTCTGAAAAACTTTCCAAAACTGTTCTAAGAAATCAATGAAACTCCTGACAGAATATGACCAGCGTAGGACAAAGGTCGTGCCACTCAACTTCCCTTCCAGGATCTGCAGGGGAAGAGTGGTCTCTGGAAGATCTGATGTCACCATTCCTCAGTGGACTGAAAGAGGTGTCTGGAGCCCCACAGTTGATGCACCCACCTTCTGTCCACCAAGTGTTAGGCACCTAAGGAGACAAAGGTGGTGCTGTGTCCACTGGATATCTCCCAGGTCTGTGCCAGGAGCCTTGGCAACAACTCCTGAACCCGGATTGGCCACGGTGAAATATGCAGGAACCATGCCCACCTCAGGAGCGTTGATGGCTCACAGTTAAAGGGCTCCTGGAACCCAGCAGCCAAGAAAACCTGCTGAGCCAGTTCTGCTCTGTGACAGGGGGTTGTTGAGGTGCGACAGAATCACTCTCCAGTCCCCAACAGGAATCCTTATCTCAGAGGGCTGGCGCGAAGGTTATGTGAGATCATTTGCAATATGTTCCAATGCTTACCTCCAATAAAACAGTCAATAAATGGTCATCATTACCATAATATAAATTGACTGAAAATATTACTACTGAAAAGATTTTAAGAAGAATGCATAAGATTTTAAGATAAATGAGCAACTCTTCAAGCACAAAAGTCCCCACCCTTGTTCTGACTAGGAAAGTTCTGGCTGGGAAAGGCTGTAACAGAATCCTTCACTTCTTCTGGGACGAGATATTTCTGTTCCCAGGTTCGGGCCACAGTTCTCCGTGGTGGTGCCTGCTATTCCATCCTGCCTGGTTACGGTAGTTTTAAAAACTCTGAGGAAATCTTTGGAGTCCTCAAGGCTCGGAGATGAGGGGGAGAGGTAAATAGCATGGTCCTCATCATCTCCTTTTCTTTCCCTGGGGGACTAAAAAGACATCAACAAAAATTAGTGAGGGGAAAACAAAAAAGATTCAGTGGGATTTCAAAGGCATCCCTGGAATCTGCCAGATGGTGGGAGGAAGAGCAGGCGGATCAATTCAGAACCTTGGCAGGGACTCCTCCAATGGCGCGTTTCCTACTCTGGTCCCTTAAGAAAGGGCCCCCGGGTGCTGCAAATGGTTAACATGCAAAGGCTGAGGTCTGAGTCCCAGAGGGGCCTTAGAGAAAAGGCCTGGTGATCTACTTCTCACAAAGTCAGCTCCCGAGGGGCAGAGTCTACTCTGACATCCTCAAGAGTGTTGATGAGTGAGGGCCGGCTCAGGAGCAACTGATTTTTTAAAATATTTTATTCTTTTTTGTATGTGTACCATCAAATCAGATCTGACTGGTACAGGAGGAGGTTGTCCCTCCTTCTCTAGCAGAGCATCTGGTGGATTCGAACCGTGCAATTGATTTGCAAGTGCTTTTTATCCCTTTCTGAAGTTCTGTCCTATGACCCGGGGGACACTATTGCGTGCTGTTTACATATCTCTTCCTCCTCCTCTAGGAGTCCTTGAGAGCAAGGACTGCCACTTCTTCCCTCTCCTTTTTTTTTTTTTTTTGGTTGGGTTTTTCTTAAATTTTATATTTATTTGCATACAAAATTTATATACAATGTGTTTCATTTGTGTTTGACACATTTCTTCATTCACATTGTGGATTATATGATAAGACCCAGCTATCCTACTATTAAAATAGACCCTGAGGAAAACAGAATGGAGACACAAAGAGAGGCTTGTACACTGATGTTCACAACAGTATTATTCACTATAGCAAGAAAATGCAAATAGTTCAAGTTCCAATGAACAAACAAACAGACTGAGAACTTGTACATTCACAGGATGGAATACTACGCAGCACTCAGGAGCAACTTCTTCATTTACCTGAATCCCTCTGACCTGCCATCATCAGTGCATGTTTACCTGACTTCTCTATTTAGTACAATGGAGTGATGATATCTGAGATACAAATAAAGCAAAGTGAACTTGGTGTTCTAGTCTGCCAGCATCTCACCCAGGTCAGTGACTTGACCCTGCTCTCTTCCAGCCACAGGACCACTCGGGTCTGGCCAGTCAGTCGTAGCACTGTGTCCTCCTGAACTCTGACTGGCCCAGACGGGTGAGCAGAGTCATCAGAGACTGCCATGGGGCTTGGTTTACAGAGGTAGAGATGGCATCTCTCTCCTTTCAGATCATGTTCAGTTGTGACAGAGGTGAACCGTCCATGGCTCTTTCCTTCTCTGAGAGCAGAAGCAGCTTGGGAAGCCAGCACACAGACGGAAAGAGCATGAAGAGCAAATGAGAATCTGAAAATATCCCTGAGCCCCGAGATCCAAATATGCCTACAGCCAGCCTGTCCGGGCCAGTCTCAATTACCGAAGCCACTGAGTCTCCTTCTGCCGAAATAAGTCTGAGTGGCTTCCCAGCCTTTGTAGCTGTAAGGTCGCCAAGAAGGACAAACCCAGTTCAGGCCAAGAAACACAGTTTTATTGAGGAGAAACTACCAGGCTGGCTCTGAAGTAGAGACCTGCGGCTACTCAGAGTTTTATATTGTCTTACAGCGAAAGTAGGGAGTGAGGATGTTCACAGCTGCTCAGTACAAGATAAGGAAGCAGGCTGGAGTCGTGAATAGTTACTCCTGGGAAAGGGAGGTGGAATAGTTTAGCAGCCCTAATAGAGATAAACAGAGTTGCAGCTGCTACTTTGATCATTTCTGTGGATGTTCTGGGAAAGTGGGGGAGAGCAGCTCTGCTGTCCCAATAGAAGCCAGGAGCTCTCTCTAATACCATTCATAAAGCACTAAGCCCAATACTCGGCACAGAGACAGCAGAAAAGCTGTGGCAGCTCTTGCTACAACCATGAATAATAATAAAAGAACTGTGAGGGTTGAGTCTCTGCATGCAGAAGGGAGTGGCCTAGATACACTCCTGACCCCAGCCTTGGGATGAACTTGTATGTGCTTCTTCTGATGTGATATGAATTCTTTTATTAAACAAAGCTTCCCCCCTCCCCTTTTTGATGACGGGATACACAACCAAAACACACAACACAGTTCCTACATGAGTTTCAGGGACACTGGGGACCTACTTCTCAGTGGGTTGTGTCCTCCCCATCTCTACCTGCACGGTCCCCCGACCGTGAGTCCAGGCTCTCCGCCCCTGTAGGTTCTCATCTGTGCTCTGGACTAACAGTGGACAGTCAGTTTCTGGACTGGGCGTTCTTAACCACCCACACTTCTAGTTCAGCCCCTGCCTCAGATTGAACAGACCTTGAAAGGAATTTGGACTCTTTCTGAAGGCTTCCTCTGGACCTCTTTTCCAGGTACTCCTCAACGAAGGTGGAAGGTGGGATGAACGCGTGGTTTGCCTGCTTCTTCTCTGCTGCTTTTTGGTCGATTTTCTTCATCTTCCTGGGGAGAAAGCACAGATATACATGACAAAGGACTGAAGAGGCCAGAGTGTTCTCTCTAGAGGCTCCACTCCCAGTTGTTTTTAGTTGCAGTCAAATCAATCCCAACTCATGACAACCCCGGGTGTGCAGAGCAGAGCTGCTCCCCAGGGTTTCCAAGGCAATACAGCAGGTCGCCAGGCCTGGCTTCTGAGGTGCCTCTAGCTGGGCTCAAACAACCAACCTTTAGGCCAGCAGTTGAGTGCTTAATCGTTTGTGGCACCCAGGAAGTCCTGCAACTGGACAGGGAGGAAGATATTTACAAACTCACGAATTACACCTGTCAGAAGCAAGGAACTGAACACAAAGCAGCCACAGTCACCGAGTCCCTGCCAGCTGCCTGCTGTGGACCGGGTGTCACATCCACCCTGAGCATACAGAGAGGAGAGAAGTGTCATCCCTGAAGTCAATGAACAGACGTACAGGCAGCGCTGTGGCTGTCAGCAGCTGGCCTGGAGACAACTTCCTGCCCTTTAATGTACATCTGCCTTTGTGGAAATGAAGAAACCAACTCCTACTCAAAACAAATTCCCATCACAATCACCTTGCCTGTTGCATGTGCAGTTATAAACCACAGCAAAGGCTGGGAGCCTCTTCTTACCAAGCCGCACCTATGCCATCAAGTCGAATTCGACATGCCACAGCCCTCTAACCAGGTTCCCAATCGTGATGGGAGGATTCTGCCTCTATTTTCCCTGCAAAGTGGCTGGTGGACTTGCACCACTGACCGCTCACGTTAGCAGCCCAAAATACATCCCATGTCATATATGATACAGCAAATGCTGAGACGTGCCACACTCCCACAGCCTTCAGTACCTGGAGAAGAGTTCTTGCTGCTGCTTCAGGTACTTGTCAAAATAATTCCACTCAGTCCAGTGGAGCCGGCTCAGCTGGGAGAAGTTCTCCCTCCGGTTCTTCATGTTGGTCAGGGCCTGCTTGATGATGTCATCATACGTAGGGACAGACTCAGTGGTCTTTACTGTTAAGGAAAACTCCACACTATTGGTCCTGACCCTTTGCATTCACTTAATGTGCTTAGTGGGCAAGGAGGCAGGGGAGAGGGACATGGGAGTGGAAAAAGAGCCTGTTCCTTCTGGAGGATGACGGCTACCTGAGCAGGAAACGGCGTCTCTGGGATGTAAGAGGCTGACCTGACCTCTTTGGCCAGGCCATAGTCCATTTATCACAAAGCCCTGCTCTCCTCCTGCCGAGGAAAGGCTGCCATTGCTGTGGCTGCCGGGTGCTCTGAGTTGACTATGACTTACAACCACCCCGGTGCTGGGGCTGAACTGCCCACAGGGTTTCCGAGGCTGCAGGCTTTAGGGGCAGAGGCCACCTCTTTCTCCTGCAAGAGGCCAGCTAAGCTCACCCCACTATTAGGAACTGCAGAGCCCTCTCCTTCCTCTCCCAGAACGGCTACTGAAAGAATCCAATCACAGGAAACAGCAGCTATGCTTTTTCTCTCTGTCAAGGATGTGAAACTACCCTACCCCCTTTCCCCAGAAATAGTTATGAGACCCCTATCTTGTAGAAAACATCTGTGAGCATCCCCTTCCCCAAGTCCCTTGTAAGAGAATATAAACCCCTCTTTAACTTTTAGTGGGGACTGGTCTGCTTGAGGGCCAGCCCGGTGGATTCTTCTCTTATAAACTGTCTTTCTTGGCCTGAACTGGGTTCCGTCCTTCCTCGGCGACCTTAGAGTTGGGAGCTGTGCAAACTCGGACAGGAAGCAGGTCATGCTTGATGGCTCAATTTCTTCATCTATAAATCAGGGACAGTTACACTGACCTTATGGCTCGTCTGCAGGGAGCTGTGCTGCTAATTCAAAGCCATGTCTATCGGTTCACATCCACCACGGACTCCCTGGGAGGAAAACGGGCACTCTCTGCTTGATTTACAGCCTTGGAGACCCAGTGGAGGTCGGCTCCAAGTCGGTCCTGACTCGCTGGCACCACATACATAGTGTAATAAGGAACCGAAGTGGCAGAGTGGTTACGGTGTGTGGCTGCTGTCCAAAAGGCTGCTGGACAGAACCCACCAGCCACCATACGCATATGCAGGAGGTCCAGGCTGGAAACCTCATCTGACAGGGTAACTTGGAGTAAGAACTGATTCAGCGGCAGTGGAACTGGTAAATAACATCAATAATAGCTTTTTTTCTTTCTTTGTTTTAAATTATCAGTTGTATGCCACTAAAATCCTAGTCACAACGCTAGTGTTTAAGGGTTAGCTATTCTTATTTTAAGACAGAATAAATACATTGAACTCAAATGATAAGTCACGTGAAGGAGCTCTCAAGGTCAGGGGGTTGCTCCAGTGGGATTCAAAGCCAGGTCTAGCAATAGTCATTTTTCATGACACTCTTCTAAGTAGTATAGCACTGGTCTGTCCATGTGCTGCACAGAGGTAACTCGTGGTTGCTGTGATGCTAAACACTGTGGCACTGATGTGCCAAATGTGATAATGGTTACTCATGGTGAACGGTGTTTGGTGGTGCTTCCCGATTAAAACAAACTTAGAAGCAGGTGTCGCACCCACTTCGGAAATGGCCTGTCTCTGGAAAATCTATGAACATGGCAAAAAGACCAAAGTTATACAAGTGTTCAGGTCTTCCACTCATAGGATTGCTATGAGCCGTCTATGACTCAATGACACCTGACGACAACAACAACATGCTATCTTTAGACAGCTCAGGTGGCCTAGTGGAAACTGTGCTTCAATCTCAAAGGCATGTAGTTTGAATCCAAAAGCTACTTCCAGGGGAAAGAGGGGAAATCTCCTCCCAAATGATTAAGCTGACTGAAAACCTGCCAGAGAGTGGGCTACCAGTCCGTTCCAATGCAATGGCACACCATCACCACCACAATAATGCTGTCTTCAGGGAGCTCTGGTGACTTAGTGGGTATGGAGTTGCACTGCCAGCCCAAAGACACGTGGTTCAAAAAAGACAGGCTATCTCTTTCTGTGAGATTTACAGCCTCTGACAACCAGCTGGGGAGTGATTGATAAATTGGTTCCAACTCGATGACCTGTAACAACAATGCTGTCTTTCAGAACAAATGAGGTGATGTACAGAAAAGCTCTCTATAGACACTAAAGTATGTGAAATAGGAGTTGTTAGTATTCATTGCATACAGACATATTTTATGTTCGTGGGAGTAAAACTCTACTGGACAAGAGAAGCAAAGGTTTACCTAGTTCCATGGACGCTCCCCCTGATGTGGAGCTGACTGCTGGCACGTAATCAAGTACTCCTTATCTGTCAAGCTCTGTGTGAGGCTGTTTTTGTGATCTGTCTTAATGGTGTCTATGAGCCTGGTCTGTTATCCAGCTTACAGGTGAACAAGTCAAGCCCAGAGAGAAGATGGAACCTGTCTAAGCTGGTGGGTGGTAGAGTGGTTCTTGACTCTCTTGTTGTGTGCTGTCAAATCACCTGCGACTCATAGCGACCCTGTGTACAGCAGCCATAAACCCTGCTCAATCCTGTGCCAACCTCACTGTCTCCGACACACCTACCCCGATTACCCTAGTCACTAAATCAATCCACCTCATAAAGGGTCTTCCTCTCCTGCACTGTCCCTCCACCCTCCCAAGCAATGACATCTTTCTCCAAGGATTGGTCTCTCCTTGCAACATATCCAAAGTATGTCAGATGAAGTTTCTGAAATTTTGCCTCCAAGGAGCAGCTTGGTTTAACCCTCCTTAGGACAAACCTGTTCGCAGTTCATGGTATATTCAATACTCTTCTCCAACATCACTGCTCAAAGGCATCAATTCTCCTTCTAGTCTCCCAAGTCATTGTCCAGCTCTCTGATGCATAGCAAATGATGGCAAAGGCCATGGACTGTATCAGTCGCACCTTAGTCTCTTCAGTATTTTGGAGAGGTCTCTAACAGCAGACTTTCCCATCACAATGTGTCTTTTAATTTCTGGCTACTGGAGTCAGGCAAACTAAAGCTGTTAACAATCTCAATCTCTTCACCATCCATCCTGATGCTGCCAATTGGCTCAGTAGTGAGAATTTGGGTTTTTTTTATATTGAGCCTCAATGCATATTTTAGGCTGCAGTCCTTGACACTCTGCAGCAAGTGCTTCAGGTCCTCCTCAGTTTCAGAAAGCAGGGTTGTGCATCTGCAGAATGAAGATTGTTGATGAATCTTCCTCCAGTCCTGATGCTACACTGCTCCTCATACAGCCCAGCCTCCCAAATCTGTTTTGCATATAGGTTGAAAAGGTATGGAGATAGGACACATCCCTGGCATACACCCTTTCTAATTTTGAACCATACAGTGTTTCCTTGCTCTGTTCTGAGGACTGCCTCCTGGTCCAAGTAGAGGTTTTGCATTAGCACGATCTGGGATTCCCATTCTTCTCAGCGTCAGCCACAATTTGTTATGGTCCACACAGTCAAATGCCTTTGCATAGTCAATGAAACAGACATTCCTCTGGTATTCCCTGCTTTCAGCTAAGATCCATCTAACATCAGCTACAATATCCCTAGTACCACGACCCCTTCTAAACCCAGCCTGGACTTCCGGCAGTTCTCTGCTGATGTGCTGTTCCAGTTGTTTTTGGATAATCTTCAGTAGAATCTTGCTTGCATGTGAAATCAATGATATTGTTCGATAATTTCTACACTGTTGGAGCTCCTTTCTTTGGAATGGGAACAAATACAGATCTCTTCCAGTCAGTTGGCCAAGTGGTTGTTCTCCAGATTTCTTGACACAACTTGGTGAGCAGTTCTAGGGCAGCACCTGTTAGCTGAAATATGTCAACTGGTATACCATCTATTCCTGGGGCCTTATCTTTTGCAAGAATTAATTTTTAACATTGACTCTAGGTCTATTTAATTCAAACCTCATGTTCTCAACCCTTATGGAAACTTGCATGTAGCTTAAGATTTCTCTGATATTTATCCTAAAAACTGGAGGTCCACACAGCCCACACAGCCCACACCTACTTTCTTGAAATCTGACCATTTTTTAAAAGTCCTCAGCATAAGAGCCACCAGGGCCAGGAATTTGCTGACAGGCATGGAAGAGAGGTATGTGGTGTAGTTGTTAGATGTTCAGGTGCTAATCAAAAGGTCCCAGCGGTCTATAGTGGCCTGAGTGTTTGCAGGAAAAGACCTGGCAGTCAGTTCCCATAAACAGTATAGTCTTTACCACTAGTGAACATTTTGATTAAAAATGCTGATCAAAGGGGGTGGAAATGCTGAACAGAATTTAAAATTCTCACATATTTTACACTGGAGCCAATGAAGCTGGTTGTTGTTATGTGCAACTGAGTTGCCTGTGACTCACAGCAACCCTATGTACAATAGCTCTGAATCCTGCCCTATCCTGAACTGTCTCCAACACACCTACCCTCATTATCCCAGTTTACTGTGTCAATCCATTTCATCCAGGGTCTTCCTCTCCTGTGCTGTCCCTCCACCCCCTCAAGAATAATGTCCTTCTCCAGGCACTGGTCCCTCCTGGCCACATGCCCAAAGTATGGGAGGCAGAGATTCAAAATCCTTGCCTCCAAGGGCCTGATTTCACCCTCTCCAGCATAAACCTGTTTGTTCTCTTGGCAGTCTATGGTATGTCAATACTCTTCTCCAGCACTGCAACTCAAAGGCACAGGTTCTTCTTCTGTCATTGTTAATCACTGTCCAGCATAGCAAGCAATTGTGAAGACCATGGCCTGAATGAGGTGCATCTTAGTCTCTACACTTGAAACTGCTGCCTTTAGGTCATCTTTAAACTTTCAACCAAAACTATCTCCTGAAGTCACCTTAGAGCCAAATAATAACCTAACTTAAGTAGTAAACAAATGTCTGCCTAAAGAGTTGTGCTCTTAGAACTGTCTTTGTTGTCTACATCTTTGTGAACTGCCAAGTTGGAATCAACCCATAGCTGACACTCTGGCAGGTTTTCAGAGGCAGTTCATTTCACAGGAGGAGATTACCCATCCATCTTTCATGGAGCACCTAGTGGACTCGAACCGTGTGCCTTTAGGACTACAACACAATTTCTTGCCAGTAGGCCACCAGTGCTCCCTGAACTTTTTATAAGGCATCAATTGACAGGAGCAACTCAGAAGGTAGGAACTTTCTAAGGCAGTGAGTTTCTGTTAATGGGGGAGGACTGACTCAGAAAAGGAGGTGAGAATAAATATGCAACTCAAGGAACAAAGTCAATGCCGCTGGATCACAGAATTGTACGTGTAGAAACAGGTGAACTGGTATGTCTTGCTCAGTAAACACATACACACAATTACAGCCAAAGAAATCCTGTGGGGCAAGTCGAGTCATTCCTGGAAGGTTGTTATGAGTCCGAATTAACTTGACAGCACACAACAACCTAAAGGAAGGCTGTGTAAGAAGAGGGTGTTATGTGAAAAACATGTGGGCACCAGACCTGATCTGGATACACTCTGGGGGCATTCTGAGCATCTAGGAAACATTATCTGGTCTTAAAGTAAGTTCGCATGCCTAGTCGGCACACTGTTCATTCTGTTATTGGTTGTGCCCCATTAAGTCTAACCTGACCCACAGTTGACCCTCCAGTGGGCTTTCAGAGGCAGTAAATCACATAGGAGAAGACTGCTCATCTTTCTTCCACAGAACAGCTGGTGGATTTGAACGGCATACCTTTCACTGGCAGCCCTATTCCTTACCACTAAGCCACCAGTGCTCCCACTCACTCTGGTAAGTAGGAAAAACATGATTTTGCACATAGGGACAGTCAACTTGTCCAAGGCCCCACAGACAGTCCATGAGGTAAATCTGGAGTCAAAGAAGCGAGATTCTGACCCTGATGCTCCCATCAATGGTCACCTTTGACTGATACCCACTGTGTGCCACATGCCATGCTGAGGGCTGAGTTCTCTTCCCCAGCCCTGGCTTCTGGGAAGGGGAAGCGGGACCTAGAGGAGCACAGACCCTCGTTGCAGGTGGCAAGGATATGGGATGATCTTGGTCGGCTCCTTCCTGACGACCAACACATCCTGGCCGTGCTGGCGCAGAACGGAGTAGTTGTAGAGGAAGTGCACAATCAGAGGGCTCTTCCCGTAAATGTTGAAGCTGCTTTCCACCATCTCAGGGCCCTTGCAGGCAGGGTGAGACTGAGGAGGGAGGAGAAGAGAAGGTGATGAAGGACACTGCCACTTTCACCGCCGGCACTGTGGGAAATTAAGACGCTCATCCCCTGTGATGCTGGTCTCCTTAGAAAATCACCCGAAGGAGGGAAGATGGTTCGGATGCTAACATGCACACTGAAGATAATAAGGACAGCTTAAAGTTAAAACCAAATCAAACCCACTAGGCTGGAGCTGATGCCAACTCACAGTGACCTCTGTCTGGCTTCTGAGGCTGAGGACCGTTACAGGAGGAGACAGCCCATGTTTCTCCCAAGGAACAGCAGGAGGATGTGAGTCACTGGCACTCCAATTATCAAAATGATACATAAAGCACTACACCGCCAGAGAAAAGGGCTAGAATGCCCTACGTGCTGAAGGAGAAGCAATCATGAAGTCCACCAAAGGAAAAATGATGCCACCGTTGACACATGGCCCAGAGACAATTAACTATTGCAACACCAGGGCTCCCTGAAGGCAGCAGGAGGAATAAAAAATTCATGTCAACTGAAGATGATGCCTCTTATGTGCTATGGTCTGGCTCCAGAGCTCAGACTCACTGACATGCTTGCCTCCATGCTAGTCTTGACGTCCTCACTCATTTCTTTGAGTTCTTGGACAAACTCGTTATCTGCTCTGAGCACCACTTTTTTTTTATCTTATTAATTTTAACTAACATTTACAGAAATTTTGGATTTGCATTCATTCATTGTTTCACTTTTTTCCCTGCCCAGCCCTCCCCACCCCAGTTTGCATCTCTCTTTGAAAAATAAAATAAAAATTCTTTCTTTGGTATACAATTCCCCCTGCACCCCTCCCACCGCCCCGAGTACACTCCACTATGCAACCTTAATTCTGGACTCTTGTGATAAGCATAATATATCGTTTTTAAATCATTCTCTCCTTCATCTGTTTCAGTGTCATATACATAATTTATCCATAGTTTTTCTATGGATAGAAAAACATAGTTTTTCTCAGTCTTACCCAAACCCTGATGTCAGTCCCATTCTACAACAGTGGCACCATACAGCGTTTGTCCTTTTGTGACTGAGATATTTCACTTAGCATAAAGTCCTCCAAGGTCACCCATCTGAGCACCACTTTTCTCACTAATAAAAAGGCAAATAATGACAGTAATTGTCTCAGAGGGCTCAGACGGTACTGCATGTATATATAGGGTTCAGGACAGCACTTGACATAAGTTGTTGATCTTGTGTTTTGCCATTGAGTCAACTATGAGTCACAGAGATCCTGTGAACAACCGAACCCTGTGAAGATCTGAACCCTGCCCCATCCTGCGCCACCTTCATCATCTCTGATATACTTGGGTCCATTGTTACAGTCACTGTGTCAATCCAACTTGTGGAAGGTCTTCCTCTCCTATGATGACCCTTCACCTTTCCAAGTAAGATGTTTTTCCCCAAGGGCTGGCCCCTCATAACAACATGCCCAGAGGAGATGAGATGAAGCTTCACCATCCTTGCCTCCAAGGAGGACCCTGGCTGCACTTTCTCCAAGACATATTTATTTGTTCTTTTGACAGTCCAAGGGATATTCTGTGCTCCTATCCAACACCACAACTCAAAGGCATAGATTCTTCTTCTGTCATCCATGTAGTTTCTTTGTTAAGTGCCGTAGAGTCATAGATGACCCATAGCGAACCTATGAATGAAAGTCCTAAATGCAAAACTTTCATCTTTTCTCCAAGTTCACAGAGTTTCTAGAGGCAAGCGTTTTGGAAAGTGGGTGCCACTCCTGCTTCCAAGCTTGTTTTATTCTTTCATCCATATCCACTGTCTAATTTTCAGATGCATAGTAAGTAAATTAAAAAACCATGGCTTGGATCAGGTGCACTATGGTCTTTAAACTGACCTCATGGCTCTTTAGCACTTTTGAGAGGTCCTTGACAACAGGTTTTCCCAATACCACACGTCTATTGATTTCTTTTTTAAATTTGTTTTCCTTCTTTTATTTATTCATTGTTGCACATTTTCTTCTCCTTCCTTCCCTTCTCTCATCCCACCCAGCAATGCATCCCTTGCTCCAGACTGTTGTCATACACATACTGCACAGTCATAGATTCCTTTCGGACAGTTCTTCTCCTCATCTTCTTTAATGCAGTTTAATGCAGTGGATACTCTTTCCTCATTCCCTTCTCAAATCCTTCATGTCTATCCTATTTTATAACAACAGTGGCATTACTTGTCCTTTTGTGACTGAGATATTTCACTAAGCATAATGTCCTCAAGGCTCCACCATGTTGTGTAAGGTTTTACTATTTCATTGTTGTTTTTCAGTGCTGCATAGTATTCTATTGTGTGGATGTATCATAGTTTTTTATCCGTTTCTTTATTAACAGGCACTTGGGTTGCTTCCATCTCTTTGCTATTGTGAATAATGCATCAATAAACATGGTGGACATACATCTGTTTGAGTCGTGGCTTGGGTTTCTTTAGGGTATATTCCCAGTAGTGGAATTGCTGGGTCAAAAGGTATTTCTAGTTCCAACTTTCTGAGAAAGTGCTGTACTGTATATTTCCATAGTGGTTGTACTGTTTTACATTCCCACCAGCAGTGAATAAGAGTTCCACTCTCTCCACAACCTTGTCAGCATTTGTTTACTCCTGGTTTTTTGATTTCTTGATTGCTAGTATCAAGGGTGTTGATTGTGGCTCCAAGTAAGATGAAATGGTTAACAATTTCAATCTTTTCTACATCTGATGTCATCTATTGGCCCTGTGGTGAGGATTTTTGTTTTCTTGATGTTGGTGTACAATCCATATTGTAGACTATATAGTCTTTGATCTTCTGAAGAAAACAGTTTTCCTCACATTTAACAAGTAAAGTTATATCATCTCCATAACACAGGATGTTGATGAATCTTCTCCAATTCTGACACCACATTCTTTGTAATTCTCAAATTATTTGCTCAGCATATAGATTGAATAGGTATGGGGGAAGGATGCAGCCACTACACATACTATTCTTTATTCTAAACCATGAATTGTTTCCTGGCTCTGTTCACACAATAGCCTCTTGGTCTAGGTAAAGGTTTCACAAGAGCACATGTAAGTGTTCTGAGATTCTCATTCTTTTCAATGTTAGCCATAATTTGTTATGATCCACACAGTCCAATGCCTTTGCATCGTGAATAAAACACAAACAGACTTTCTTCTGGTATTCTCTGTTTTCTCCCAAGATCTACATGATATCCCAGGAGCCATGGCCTCTTCTAACTCCAGCTTGAACTTCTGACAATTCTCTGTCAATGTACTGTTCTAGCTGTTTTGTAAAAGAATGTTCAGCAAGATTCTGCTTGCATGTGTTATTAATAATACTGTTTGATGTTACAAAAATAATACATTTTTTAAATGAGAATATGGATCTCTTCCAGTCAGTTAGTCAGGTAGCTGTCTTCCAAATTTCTTAGCACAACCTAGTGACCACGTCCAACAGGGCTACATCTGTTTGTGGGAACATGTCATTTGGTATTCTATCAATTCCTGGGGTCTTCTTTTTGGCAACTGCCTCTAGTGCAGTTTGAACTTCTTTCATTACCATTGGTTCTTGAGCACATGCTTCTTCTGTGTCAACAAATTCTCATTGGTACAATGAGTGACTCTGTATATTCCTTCCATTTTCCTTTGATGCTTTCTAGATCATTCAAGGTTTTGTTCATAGCATCAATCAGTGTTGTGACTTGAGCTCAAATTTGGTTTTCAATTCTTTAATATTGAAAAATGTTGCAAGTTCTTTTTAAATTTCTGACTCCAGCTCTTTGTACATTTTGTTATGATAACTTTTTCTCCTCTCAAGCTGCCCCTTGAGCTTTTCTGTTCATCTCTTTTGTCATTTCTTCTCTGTTTTGGCTTCTCAATGCTCTAGTGCAATTTCAGAATCTCTTCTGACATACACTTTGGTCTTTTCTTTCTCCCCTGTCGTTATAATAACCTTTTGCTTTCTTCCTGAATGATATCTTGGCTTTAGGCCCGCACCATGATGAAACTTGACATACGACGCTTATTAAATGTTAATCATCAGTCAGTCACCACCTATTAAAAACCCATGTTTCAGGACTGAATATCTCAATTACAGTAGGAAAGCGTGGCTCACAGGAAAGGAGAAACTTGAGCAACAGAAGTGGGCCTTTTTTCACTGATGCCTTTGAGCTGTGGAGAAGAGTCTTGAATATACCATGGACTGCTAGGAGAACAAACAAGTTCAATGGGGAGAAGGTGAAACCAGGCTGCTCTTTGGAGGCAAGGATTCTGAGGCTTCATCTGACATACTTTGGACATGTTGCAAGGCAGGATCAGTCCTTGGAGAGGGACATCATGCTTGGGAGGGTGGAGAGACAGCACAGAAAACGAAGACCCTCGATGAGATGGATTGATTCTGTTTACTGGTGTGTCAGAGACAATAAGATTGGCAAGGGATAGAGCAGGGTTTAGGGCTGTTGTATATAGGGTCGCTTGACGGCATATAACAACAACAACTATACCCAGGCTTCTGAATTTTGAGCAAGGCAGTAAACCTTGGAACAAACCCAGACAGAACACTCTACCACCTTGTATCTACCTCTCTTAAGCGATTTCTAAACTGTATTTGTCACCATGTACCTAATATGATCCCATTCTTAACATGTTCACAGAAGTGACTTTCCCATTACATCTCTTGTCCCCTCTGTCTCTACTGTTAAATGTCCATTCCTGTGCTCACCTCTTTAGGTAATGAAGCCTCATGTTGTCTTGCTTCAGATATCCTCTTGACTTGACTGGTAACTTTTCTCAAGATCATTGCTTGATAGTAATTCCCTGTTCCTAGAACATTTGTAAAACAAATACATTAATGAATAAAATAAAAGTTGAGAAAACATATGAGACTTATCATCTTCTTGTAAGTCTGAATATGTATTAAGTTTCTTGGGAGACACCAGAGAAAAATGATGCAGGTTAAAAGCACACAACAGCACTTGCACTTTAACTAGATACACCTTTGTAGTCACGCATTTGCCTTCTTACTTATTTCTCTGTCCATCCTTGTACCTATTCCTCTATCTATCTATCCCTTCACAAACATTCACAGATATCTACTCTGTGCTCTGCTAGGTGCCATGCTGTTGTTATGTGCTGTTGAGTTGCTTGCGACTCACAGCAACCCTATGTTCAATAACCCCGAAACCTGCTCTATCCTGTGCCAACCTTATCTCTTACACACCTACCCTCATTACCCCAATCTCTGAATCAATCCATTTCATTGATGGTCTTTCTCTCTTTCTCTGTCCCTTCACCCTTCCAAGCATGATGTCCCTCTCCAAAAACTGGTCCCTCCTTGAAACATGTCCAAAGTATGTTAGATGAAGTCTCAGAATCCTTGCCTCCAAGGAGCAGTCTAGTTTCACCCTCTCTAGGGCGAGCCTGTTTGTTCTCCTGGCAGTCCATGGTATTCAATACTCTTCTCCAGCACCACAGGTGGGTGCTGTAAATAGACATCTTCAAGCACTCAAGGTTTAGTGAGATAAAAAGACACACAAGTAAGAAGTGGAACACTGACTTGGGTGCCATTATAGAATACTCTACAATATACAGTACAGACAAAAAAAAATAACAGAGAGAAGGATCTAATAGCTTTAAAAAAAAAACCAAAAACTTGTTTCTTTCAGTCACTCATAGTTTGTTTTATAATATTAATAATTTCATAGTACCATTATCTAAAGACTTTTTAAACACTGACCAACATCAGGAAAGGCACTGTGTTAAAAAAGGGGAGGGGGTATGCACACCCATGTTTATTGCGGCTTTGTTCATAATAGCAAGGAGTTGGAAACAACCCAGGTGCCCATCAACAAACAAATGGATAGAGAAGCTGTGGTATATTAACACAATGGAATACTAGGCTGCATTGAAAAACAAGGAACTCATGCAATATTATTCAAAATGGGTCACCCTGGAGGACGTTATGCTGAGTGAAATATCTCAGTCGCAAAAGAACAAATACTACATAGTGCCACTGCTATAAAATGGGACTGATATCAGGGTTGGGGTAAGACTGAGAAAAACTGGATAAACTGCGTATACTGCATTGAAACAGATGAGGGAAAGAA